AGCCAAAGTGTACAGCGCCGTGTGCATCCGCGCACAGGCAGAGGATGCCGCAAACCCTGGTCGATCGTTAGGGCTGTGACGGCTGACTGAGAATGTTTTTTATCCTATAATTCTTCCTTTTTCTTCTATTACACTAAGCCTATCGCTTCAATCTGATTAAGTTTCGGCAGATAAACATCCTGCCATCTGTCATGAAACTTTTTAAACTGTTTGCTCGGTCAAGGAAACGCCGTTTTCCTTTCTGCTTTAGAAAGGCCGCAGGGAGATGATAGTGCCCTGTTTCCCCAAGAATTTATTTAATGCCCCGTGGGCTCTCGCCTTGCTCGGGTTTAGATTTTATTTTAAGGGGTGGGATATTACCTCTGTCCTTAAAGCGTAAGGTGCTGCTTGGCACTGAAATGTTGGTTTGCATTTCGGTGTTACCTCTTCGGCTGTGTTAATGCTAAATAACAGCCAGCGTCAGGCTGGGGGGCCATGGGAGACGTCCCCCCGCCGCGGGGTGGGGGGTGGTGCATCATAGAATCATGGAATCGTTAAGGTTGGAAAAGACCCTTAAGATCATCGAGTCCAACCGTTAACCCAGCACTGCCAAGCCCACCACTAAACCATGTCCCTCAGCACCACGTCTACCTGTCTTTTAAATACCTCCAGGGATGGGGACTCAACCACTTCCCCGGGCAGCCTGTGCCAGGGCCTGACTGCCCTTTCGGTGAAGGATTTTTTTCTAATATCCAACCTAAACCTCCCCTAAACCTTGAAATGCAGCCAAAAATGCCCAGTTTTCTGGTGCAACCCAAGGCTGGGGCACCCCTGCTGTTTCTGACATGGATGTCAGGACTGTTTGATGGAGGTCCCCAGCCTTCCCAACCCACACCCATTTTTTGGGCCCCAAGGAGGTGCAGCCAGCCCCGCCTCGGGGCCCGAAGAGGCACGTGGGGCTCCTGCACCCGCCTCCAGCTCTGCCCCATCAAACCCCAACCGCTGCCACGACCCGGCCGTTCCGTCCCCGCGGAGCAGCCGTGTCCCCAGCATCCCCGACCCCGGGGACGGCACAGAGAGGCGAGACACCGGCCGGGGTTCTTCAACCAGGAAGCTTTATTTACACAGTAAAAGTAACAAGCAATTTCCTGAGACTGAGCTGCTCTAGTGCAATCAAGTCATGGAGGGGTAGGAGCGGGCGGCCTCCTCGCCCGCCCGGGGAGAGGGCAGCCAGCACCGGGGCACCGGGGCAGCCCCTCCCCGGGGACACGCGCGTCCCGCTGCGCTTGTGCCACTGCCAGCGAGACTTGGCTACTACAGGTCATAGCTTCGGAAGGCTTTTTTTTCTTTTCTTCTTCTTTTTTGTTGGTTGGTTGTTTTTTTTTTTTGGCCGTCCTCTTCTTTTGAGTTCTTGAACATCAAACCCATCGACACTGTAAAGCACTGCTACAATCCTAGAACACCCTACGTAAGTCTGTTAGCCTGTTCAGCCAGGAGCTTTTCAACAATGCACTTGAAACACAACTTTATTGGCCAAATAGGCTACGCTATAACATGGAAAAATTACAATCTATTTTACAAATACTTCCTTCTGTCTTTTTTTTAACGTCATCTTTCATAGAACAGGCTCGAAGAGCTGCATCTGCAAACTCCCCATGTGCGTGCCAAGACTTTTCCTATTACAATCCTTTTCTTCAGGCCTCGCCCTGATGAACCCCGACCCGAAGCGGCCGCTGGCCAGGCTGGGTCCTGCCTTGGGCAAGCCACCAAGCCTCTTCACAATGCTAGCTAGCAAGGAATAACATCCATTTTCTGCATGTTACTTTAATATATCACATTCTGGCAGGCGGCAGGACTCTGCCGGGGGGGTTCCCAAAGCATCTGCGTAAGGGGTGAAGTCCTTTAGAAAGGAAGAGCAGCCCCCGGGGACGCCCTGCTCTCCCGTAGGGTTGGTATCTCCTGACCTCCCCCGTCCCGGGGAGCAACGCCACTTCTGACTTTACAATCAACAGGATGTCCCCTGAATCTGAGGCACATACTATATTATATTTAATATTTTTAATTACTTTATTTATATATATATTTATATATATATAAATCCACAAATGTTTTAACTCTACAGAGAGAGAAAAAAAAATTTAAAAAGTAAGGCTTTCTTAAACTGAGAATAAGTACATGAAATCATACAAACCCAACAACGAAATACCCAACCGAACACCGCCGTGGCCTCAAAACCGTCGCTAACTGTAGTCTGTGCCTACGCTAACGTGCCCAGTGTAAGGCCATGACTCATTGGAGAAGCGTCTTTAGTAAGGCAAACGGGTTGTGCTGTATGTAAACTGAATGCTACGGCTACGTCGAGTACAGCTGGGTAGTGGTCCGTTGGTCACCTGCCTACCGGGGGTTGGCACAGCACCGGTAGCAGCCCTTGGAAAGAAAACAGAAGCCCTTAGGAATTCCAGCCCCGGTGACGCACATGCGAGAGCCCACCCGGAGCTCTGCGGCAGCAGCCAGACAGGGATTTGGGTGAATTTGCCCTTTTTCGGTCATTCGGGAGTCGGCAGCTGAGGAGGTGCCCGTGGCCGGCAGGAGCTGCGTGCCCCGAGACCGGGGACGCGTCAGCGGCTGGGGGTACGGAGCATCGGGAAGACTCAAAGCCGAGATCCGTGCGGCGGCTGCGCCGCTGCGGGGGCACGGACCGGAGGGGCGGCCGCAGCCTGGGGAAGCGCTGGCGTGGCTGGACCCTCCCAAAACGTCTGAGACGGGCAGCGCCGTCCACTACAGGAGGGCTAAAAATGAAGCCAGGGTGTATTTTCTTTTAAACGATGCATCAAGCGACACTTTAAAAGAGCTGGAGGGTTCTCTAAAATGAAAAGACATCCCTGTCATCCCCTCCCCAAGTATTTGGGGCTGACCACTGCTGCCAGCAAAGCCTCCGCGGTCCCAGGACAGGGATAAAGCTATATAACAGCTAATGGGTTCCACTGTGATGGGAGACGCCCCACGCATCCCCAACCACCGCAGAAAAAAGTGCACTAACATAACCAGAAATGATGAATAAAACCTGTACCAGCGGCACTCAGCCCTTTCTGAGTTACGGACTCCTAAAGCTTTGCCAACAGCAGTGCCGAAGCCCCTTAAAAACGTCATGTCTCCCATGGCGGTTGGCATCAATGACTTTTTTTCCTTTCGCGCTTTTGCAGAGCTCGGGAAGTAAATCCTGAGCTTGAGGGAACCTGCAGAAGATGCTGGAAGCCTCTCGTACAGCTTTCCTAGAGCTTTAAACACACAAACAAAAAAAAAAAAAGAGGGAGGGAAAAAAAAAATATGTGTCCTTCTAAACCTGTTAGCAAGTGGACTGCTTGTTTCTACCAAAGAGAATTCATATCGTACAAACGTCATGGTCACCACTTTTATCTGTGCTTAACAAAGGCACAGGGAGAGGAAAAGCTTTCAGTGCTGCTACCTGGATTTTCAGCCTTTCGCCAGCTGATTTTTGTCAAGTAACCCCGCGGCGTGCCTTGGGCGTGCAGCCCCTTCACAGTAAGGCAGAACGAAAAAAAAGAGGGTGGCAGCCGTGCCTCGGGTAGCAAAGGGGCACAGCCGCTGGGAAATGGGTAAATGGCCCGGCCCCGCTCAAAACTGGGCGTTGGGAACCGGAGCGAGGGTGGCACCAAGACTGTTTGGGGCGTTTTCCCGATGGGTTTGAGAGAGGGGACTGGGAAGGAAAAAAAATAGGGAAGAAAGGCATTTGAGCATCCTCGGGCAGCGCCTGCCGAACGCTGCTGCGGATGCCGCCCCGCGTTGGAGCTGTGCGGGCTGGGGGTCCCTTTAATTCCTCATCAGGAAAAGGAAAATTAAAAAAAAAAAAAAAGTAAAAACCCAGCTCTTACCATTATTAAATTTAAGCAGAACACTTCACTTGTGATTTCCTTCTCACAGCACTGCCGGGGAGCGAGGGGGGTGCTGGGGCCGCCCGGGATGCGGCACCGAAGAGGAGCCGCAGCCGCCCCCGCAGCCGCCAGCCAGCGCTCGGTTTGCAAATCTCACTATTCTGGTTTTCCCCCACTTTTTCCAGTCCCATGGGCGGTGGCTTCTCCTCGTGCATCCCCTAATAAACAAGTGCAGGTGGGACCCAGGGGAGCGTGGCTGGCCCCAGCAGCTCCAGCCCAATGTTGGCAAAAGCCGTTTACTCACTAAATGTGAGTTTTTGGCGAGCCCTGTGCCTGGTTTCCCCAGTCGGCCAGGCAGTTTCCTCCGACGAGCTGATCTCTGGCTACAGTAGTTACAAAGAATTTCAAGATTTACACACGCACGCACACAAATTGCTCTAAATACCTGATGAAATTTTGGCAAAGCTGCTTCGGCCCCTCCAGCTGGCAGGAGGGGAGCAGTGGCAGGACCCCGCCCCCGCCGCGCTGGCAGCGGGGAGCCCTCCACGGCTCTGCTGGCAGCCCCCCGGCCCCGGGGCGAGAGGACCCACTCCCTCCTCAGTTGTTTTCTATCTGCTCGATATCTATCTCGCCGTCCAGCTGGAAGAGGCTCTCGGCGCCCGTCCCACCGCTCCGCCACGCCACCCCGTCCTCCTCCTTCCCGCCACCCTCCTCCTCCTCCTCGCAGGAGAGGTCGTCCCTGCTGGCCCGGCGCTCGTCGGCCCGCGAGCACGGCGGCTCCGGCACCGGGGTGCAGGCGGGGGTCCTGCCCGGCATCACCTCCGGGGAGCGGGGGGCCGTGGACCATGGCTGGGGGCCGGGGAGCCCCAGGGGACCCTCCTTCGGCCGGGCGGTG